GGTTGGAGGGATGCATTACAGGTATACAGCTACATGTTTCAAAATTTCATTAACGAAATTCTTGTCCAACTCCTCAGGGCTGGTTATTTTTCTTACAAAAGTTCAGGTGTTGACATCACTCTCTCTTGTGATGTCTCATGTACAGCACAAGCTTTCTGTATTTTTCACATCTTTTTGACACCACTTCCAGTATGTGGCATATATGGGAGGCTTATGCTCTGAGCTGAGACTCCAAGGATGCTCACTTGACTGCCTTGATCTATCTTCTTATTTTTTTACCTTTTTTAAAAACTTATAATTAAATAATTGTCTAAATTCTGAGATTGAATTGATCAAGAACATACAAACACTGGACTAGGAAAACTCCAAAGTATGATTTGTTTGCAGTTCATTTGTATTATATATCCTTATATTTTCATAGAAGGAGAGAGGGACACTCCAGAGTGCACCAAGGGATCTATGAATTTCACCAGGCTTCTTGACGCTACCCCTAATAAGCAGCGGAACACCAGGAAGCTCAGCACCAATTTTAACTCCATCAGCTCCACGAGCAATCTCCACACCACCAATGCTCTCAAACAGCTCTTGCACTGGACACTCTGACATGCATCATTTCGGAGGGAAAGGAAAGATTCCTCCAAATCATTCAACCATTATACTTCCAATTCTGGAGAAGGGAGAGGTTTGGTTCCTCACATTTTTTTTTTTTTTTTTTGCTAGTTTGTTCATTTTGGTCCCATAGGTTGCAAAAATTGTAATTTGTCTAGAGTTTACTAATTTTGCTTATATAATATTAATGATTAAATTTTGTTTTGCTTTCATTATTTTTTTTTAGAGGAAACACACGAACGGTAAGTAATATGCTTTTTAGTTATTAATAGTATCATTTCTGGTATTTTGATGTATATATGATAATGGAACCTTGAGGAATACATTGCAATATGTAATTATTACATTACTCCTAGATTTTGTTATTTGAATTAATATGAAAAAATGTTTTAATGTTCTTAGTTAAAAAAAAAAATAAGAAATTAAGAGTTAAGTTAGAATACAATGCTCTCATAATGTCTGCTTTAGTTTGGTGACTCACGTCATTAGTTAATGCAAGGCTGTGCCCAAATAAGATAAACATACAACAAAGGTTTATATTAAAAAAAAAAATCAACAAACCAGCCGTTTCCACCGAGGCAAGGGTGGGCCTCACTTAAAAGAAAAACGAAACTTTCTTTTAAATTTAAACAATTTATACTGGAGATAGGTTACTAGCCCTTGCTCCAGCATTTCAGTTCACCTCTTAAAAATTCTTTTCCACTTCCTCATGGGAAGATAAGACGAAATAAGAACAAATAAAAACTGTTAGAAAATAGAAGACCCAGATGGGTTGTGGAATATGTATGCGTGAACATGAATGTATATTGTGACCTACAGTGTAAGTAGAAGTAGCAAGGTATTACTGGAATCCCGCATGTTTAATGAGATAGAGAAAAGGGACAACAGCAAATCCTTACCATCATGCAAAACAATTACGGTTTCTGTTAAAATAACAAAAAAAAGGCACAGTACAGTGACTGAGAACGATACCAAATAACCCGCACATAGAAGAGGGAGCTTACGATTGACATTTCGGGGTCGACTTGACCATTTACAAAGTCACATTAACCTCTCTTCCCTATTTTCTGTGGCCTTCCCAAAAACCTCACAAACCCTGATATTCCTCTTCGTCCTATCATATCTCTAGAGGTTCTGATCCTTATTCCTTGCTTCTTGGTGGCCAAAAACCCTCACTCCCTTTCTTGGTACTTTTTCTCCTGCCCACCTTCCGTCATCTCAAGCCTCATTGAACTTGTTCGCTCTTCTCCCAACCCTGTAAGATGCTTAGTATTGACGTTTGAGTCCCCTCTTCACCAATGTCCATCTTGATGATGTCTGTTGATTTCCTTAGAGAGGAAAGACCCTTGAAGGGTTTCTACATCTCCCTATACCTATTTGAAGTCATTTCTTGATCTTATCGGCCTCTGTGTTGGACTCTAATTCATTTCCTTCCAAGGGAAAATATTATCTCAAACCTTCGGTGTCGCTGTGGGCTACTCCTCTCTCTCCTGTCCTTCTAATCTTTTTACATGGATACGATAGAGACTGTTCTTCTTCCTACCATCGATGTGCTACCTTCACTCTGGCTCCGCTATGTGGGATGACATCTTGCTCTGTGGCCTCATGACTCCAATCTCTTTCCAACCTTTTCTTGAAGTCTTATTAACTCTTGCACCTTCCTTAAGTTTAAAGCTGATGAATGGGAATCTAATTCTTGTCCTTCCTTTCCTTGATGTCCAAGGTCCACCGCTCAGATACAGGTTTTTCCTTTTCCAGTTTTAACTTTACCACGAAAACCTATGCACTGTGGCATGTACATTCACACTTTTCCTACATGCTTCCTCTGTCAAAGAAATGTGTTTCCTTTCTCCCTCTTTCTCCATGACCCTCCGCATCTGTAATCTCAGTTCCTTCCAGCAGAAATTTCCAACTCTCATAATTCGTTTTTTCCCGTCTTGGATACCCTTCCCATTTCATAGACTCTGCCTTCTCACGAGCAAAGTAATTTCTTCCTCTCCCAAATTCCTCCTACTCCTAGGGAAACTATTCTGTCCCTCTGCCTTACCTACATTTACGGTCTTCTAATCTCAACAATTCTCTCCGTACCATAGACATCAAGCTTATTTCGGCCCAGACTAACACTCTTGCACAATCTTGTTCATAAATCTCTCCCTCTACAGATGTTCCTGGTTTCTACTCTATTTCTTGCTCCTCCTGTCCTCTTCTATTCTTCGGGAGAGAAGAAACTGGTCGATCTCTTTCTGACAGACTTAGGGAGCACAAAAAAGTGTTAGGCTTGCTGACACTTAATACTTGATCCTCTTTCTGTTCGTCAGAGATCACAGCCATCCTATAGACTGGTCTTCTGCTAAAAACTGTCTTCCAACTTTAACAGTCGCCGTCTTGTTGAATCCTCTCTAATACACAACTTTCCTTGTATGAATCTTAGCCCTGGCTTCGTCTCTGTAGATGCCTTCCTCTCCCACTACATTGTAAAATGCTCCAAACTTCAGAACACCCATGACTTAACCTGATTCCTCATTTTTTTTTTCTTCTTCTTCTTCTCCCTCTTCCCCTTTCCTCTTTCCTTTTTTTGTCTTTTTTGTCTTTCTTCTGTTGCGTGTTTCTGTTCCTTCATTATTTATTTCATCACTTCCCCTTCCCCCCTCCTCTGTGCACTTGCTTCCCTCTGTGGGCACCTAGCTCCCTTGCAGTGCTCCCTTTCTTTATATTTGACTGGCTCCTCCTCCTTAGTTCCCCACTACTACTACTACTACTGCTGCTGCCGCCGCCGCCGCCGCCGCCTCCGCCTCCGCCTCCGCCTCCGCCCCGCCTCCTCCTCCTCCTCCTCCTCCCCTCCTCTCCTCCTCCTCCTCCTCCCTCCTCCTCCTCCTCCTCCTCCTCCTCCTCCCTCCTGCCTATATATAGCCATCCTGCTCCACTTCTGGTTAGTGTGGCTTTGTAAATGGTCCAAGTCGGACCGAAATGTCGTCGTAAGCTCCTCTCTTCTATGTGCAGGTTATTTGTGTACAGGTTTGTTTTACACACACTTGACAGGATGGTAGTACCTCCCTGGGTGGTTGTATATATTAGATATAAAATATAAAATGTATAATTATACAGTATTCAAGAAATTTAAATAAGTTGAAGAAAATGAAGTCGGAAAGAAAGTGATTGAATTAGAGTGGTAGTGGGGAAATAAAAAGGTAGAAAAGTTGGGAATATAAAACAAGGATAGTACATGTCTGTCTGTGTGCATGCATTTGTGTATGTATGTCTCACTGTCATGTACCACACACTGTCAAAAAGAATAAAGAGGGATGAAAATTGCACAAGGAAATTAAATAAAAGAGGAGGTATATGAAAGAGGTGGGTGGTACATTAAGGCATCTGTGGAGGCAAAGAACTTTATCCATGAAGGCAAAAAGGAAAATATGCCAGAGTATAGTGATATCAACAATCCTATATGGTGTGAAGCATGTGTTTTAAATATTGCAATGAAGAAGAGGCTAGAGACAGTGGAGATGTGTTTGAGTACAATGCGTGATGTAAATATTATGCAGAGAATTAGGAGCTTGGAGATTATAAGGTGCGAGGTTTACCAAAAGTATTATTCAAAGGGCTGAGGAGGAATTGTTAGGTGGTTTGGACATTTAAAAAGCTCAGAGCAATACAGGATGACTAGGAGGGTGTATAAGTGTGTAGTGGCTGGAAGGAGGGTTAGGGGTCATCTCAGGAAAGGTTGGAAGGAGGGAGTAAAGCAGATTTTGAGTGCTAGGGGCTCAGACATCCACCAGGCTTGTGTTAGCTCATTAGATAGGAGTGGAAGCAAGCAGCTTTTGTACTTAACACATTGTTGAAGTGTGTGCAAGGTAACATTAATGAAGGGATTTGGGAAAACCTATTAGCAATGGTACATCTCTGAGGGCCAACCATGCCGCTATATCGACACACTTCTTCTCCGTTTCCTCTTGGAGACAAAGAAATAAGAACAAGAACTATTAAGAAAATGAAAGAAAACTGAGATGGGCATTTATGCATGTGCATGTACATGCCTGTGTAGGGTGACCCAAGTGTAAGTAGAAGTAGCAGGATATACTTGCTATTGTGTTGGTTTAGGAGACAGAACAAAAAGACACCAGCAATCCTACCATTGTGTAAAACAATTACAGGCTTCCAGTTCACACTTATTTGGGTAATTGGTGCTTATTTTGTTAGTATTGTTCAGCATTTTGAACTTTTAGTTTCTTTAAACTTATTTCATCCTTAAGTTTATTTGAATAATTTTGTAAATGAATTCAGAATCAATCTGATATGAAACTAAGTGAAGTACTGTATTGTATGTATTGCTTTTCATTATTTGTAATTCTGCTTTACTTATTTAAGATTTTCATGCAATGTGTTATCAGCTAAGTAACCGTGATGGCAACAGTGGCCAGTTGGGCAACCGTCCATTGTCTATATTCTATCCCCAACATGATGGACTCAGCTTTGACCACCAACCCATCACAGGTTCACTCCATCGTCCACCTCAGGCTAGTTACATGAGTTTTTGTTAATCCTTCTTCTTGTACAGGGGAGGTTGTTAGGCCCTTTAATGGCAATAATTGCACTTTGTTTTAATTAATACTCCTAACTTGGGTAATGATGGCCATGCACTTACACATTGTAATTACTATTTGAGTTTGTGCGGGAAGTATTGTATGTGCTAGCTCTCACCTCTACCTCGTGATTTTCAAGCAAATGACAGGAAATAGCTGCAGCATATCTATTTATGAACCACATATGGTCTTATATTAATAAAGTCAGTGTTTAGTTTATCCCACTTCTTTACCACTTACATTGAAGCAATGTTCCTTTTTTCCCTGTGCTGTCTTATTCTACTTTTAAACTAGTTTTAACTCCAGCCTACTTTGCCTGATATTGTGATCATAATCCCTTTAGTTCTTTATTCTTCTAGTGAGTATAGTAGTTGTGACATTTATCATAGCACTTAGACAAAGTAGGTCACTCATGCATAAAAAAAAATATAATAAAGCAACAGACAAATACTCAATACAAATATGTGCTATCATGTTAAATTAAAATAACTGGCATCAATTAAAAACCTCATTAAATTAATACAGCCTCTCCTCACTTAGCAAAATACTCGTTTACCAACAACTCGGACTTAAGACGGGCTCTTTTCATTACAATATACAGTACACTACTGTATAAACATTTAAAAACATACCAGAAATGTTATAAATGGTACAAAGGTGACATTAAAACAATGTCAAAGATGGCCAACACAAACCCACTACCATTATAGTATGCTCCTCACTTAGTGATAAATTCACTTACCAACGTGGTCTTAGTAACAGAACTCCATTGTTAAGTCATGTAATGTCAAAAAAAAACTTCTAAAATTTCCCTAAGGTCATTACAGGCACCTCGATAATTATAAAAGCCATGCCAAAGGCAAAAGGCCTAAGCCAAGGGCAAACTGTTTAAAATATGATCCACAGTCAACAGCATGTCACAAGCTACACAAAGCGGGGGACAAACACGGGGAAAATGGAGCTATGATGAGATTGTGTGCCCGGGGGGGGGTTACAAGTCAACAGAGCTTACTCAAAGTGAGAGGTTGTTGAAGGAAGGTAAAAAACCCATTTCCCTGCCTACCCCTTAAAATTTGTTCTTGGTGTACAAAACCCCACTGGCCTGCCATATCTGTGAGTAAGCCCCTGAAGTCCCCGAAGGAAAACACCTACAGTAGAGTGGGCTCACTACAGCGCAGTTCGTTTTGGGGTTCCCCCCTTTTCTTTCCCCAGGACCCCAAACAAAATCACACCCTTGTTTCTTAGTTCATTCCCCATAGCTCAAAAACCATTTAAATATACTGCTTATGGGTTCACAATACTTTCCTTATGCTTTGTCACATATATGAATAAGTGGTTTTAAAACGGGTTTTTGTTTAGCTTTTCATTGTTTTTTATGTCATTCCTGAAAAATTTTTTTTTTCCAAAGATGTTTTACTATGTAATGAAGAAAATGATACAGTCAAATGCCCTACATTCCACATGATGGAAATGAGGAGGTTAAGCCATATGAACATCAAATTTTAAACATAGTTACAATCATGCAGACCAGATTTTTTTTAGTCCCGAAAAGGGAAAAAAAAAAAGGCAAGGAAAAGAAAAAAAATATCACCACCTTTGAGGCATGTTGAATTGGAAAAAAAGTCTGTGGGTTTGGGACATCGACCCGCAGAATTAATGCAAAAAAAAAAAAAGCATAATTACATTTTTCATTTTGCTAACAAAAGGCTTTGACCAAGCTCACCAAAAATACTATTTTTTTAGGGGGCACCTCACTAATAGGTACGTGTGTGCATCTTTCACATAGACATATATTAATGACCACTGTACTTTTACAAACATAATTTTTGCATAATGTGATGAAAATAAATATTGAAAATATTTAACTCATTAAGGGTTTGACTGCCCTTTTCTTTTGAAAAAGCCTCCCGGGTTGCTTTGAGGGTTTTTGCAGCGTTGGTGGAGGTGTGGACACAACTTATGGAAAAATATGTCAGGAAAATCTCAACTTCATTCGTGGTCTTTTTACGAAAAAAAATTTGTCAAGACATGATTTCGTGGGGCCAAGGATGTGTTGCTAATTTTTTATAATAAATTTTTTTTCATGTAGCTGTTAGGTATTAATTTTTTCATTGGTTAAGTTATTTTTTGACAAAATTATTATTTTTTTATTTTTTGCTAATACAAACAGAACAGAACCGTAGTAAGATGTTTATATAAAAAACAGTTGCTCTCATGAAAGGTTTATGTTTGGGCTCCGCTATATGACTGATTGCAACTAGCCCTTTTTAAGGAAGGGGCCACATTTTCCCAATCTTTTCATCTGCTTCAGAGTTTACTAATGATTTGAAAGGGGCAAAAAAGAGTTTAAAAAAAAAAAAAATGTCAAACTGTGAGCACCAAAGGGGAAAACTTATCATAGGATTCCACTTTGGTTTGTATCA